TCCAAGTACCACCATCTCGCATCTTTTCATCATATATTCCCCATATAGAAGCACCGCCATCCAGCGGACATTCCAAGGACTAAACGAGAGGTGGCACACGCACACTTTCTTACGGCTTGCGCTTCGTGTCTACTTTCCACCTTTAACCACTTGTAGTTCATGGTATACACTAGTTTACTGTATTCATGGCACTGCGGCCCAACGCTCGTTAAACCTTTCTAGAACAAAGGAGGTTACGCCCAGCGAGTATAACGTATAGCAACCCTTTCTTGTCAGATAGTGCTCAATGTATACATGCCAATGGCTGCTATTGGGGAATGAGAGGCAGGAGAATTGGGCTTTTACTTTCTTACGGCTTGCGCTTCGGATCTACTTTCCACCTTTAACCACCTCGAGTTCATGGTATATACTAGTTCACTGTATTCATGGCAGTGCGGCTCAACGCTCGCTAATTCTTTCTAAAACCAAGGAGGTTACGCCCAGCGAGTATAACGTAGCAACCCTTTCTTGTCATAGAGTGCTCAATGTACATGCCAATGGCTGCTAATGGGGAATGAGAGACAGGAGAATTTGGCTTTTATATAACGCGCACGCTGCGAATTTTTTATTGTTCAACAACGCACAGGAGAAATCTCCCACCGGCACCACCTTGCAGGTCAAAAACTAAGACTGCTTACACACTACGACTACTACGAGGGACGAATGGGTGCCGTCTTAAGGAGCTTCGCCCCTAAAAAAATAAAAAAAACGCGAAAACTTTACACAAGAATATGCTTACACGAAGCACTGGACGAGTCCGTTTGCGTTTATCTTGATCAAACCTTGCGTCAGGACGGCACACAAAGCAAGACGTGCGTTAAAGAAGTGCAACGTTTCAATTCTTCGGCGCCGTCTATGTCTGACTGTATTGTTTATTTGCCGCCGTGCCACGCAGCTTGACCAAGATCAGTGATCAGCATCCGGCTTTGACTAAGAAATGCATCACATAGTGCGCTGAAGGCTATAAAAAAATGTGCAGATCCCACGTACAGTGGGAATCGATGATATGCGAAGCATGAATGGTAAATATTGATATGCACTTTAAGATCAGCACAAAGTTACGAAGTGGAGGTAAATGATGCAATACATGAATTCCGTGTCATCATTATCATGTTTGCATGTGTAGTTTACGTTCGTCATCTATTCACGTCGCCAAATACCAAATTTAGTATATAGGGAGCTAACAAAACAGGCGCGCACGCGATGAGCGTGGTATGTTGTCGTGTTCTTACGTGACACGCGTGTCAGGATTATCATGTCTGCACCAGCATTTTGTCATCCATTGACGTCACGTAACACCAAATTCGGTATATGTGGAGCTTAGAAAACGGCCATGAGAGCATCATGAAGGGCCCAATATACTCCGATGTAGCGTTGACGCGCGCGAACGCTGGGCACAGCGACGCTACGTCAGCAGAACCACTAAAACAACGCTACGCTGCTGTACTATCGACAGAGCCGTTATACGTATCCTCCCCCTCATCCTTTACTTAACAGAGCAGATGCTGTCGCTTGGCGGCAACTACAGACCAATTCATTTCCTTGCCTTTATATGCTACATCGCTTTCATCCGACTGTCTACCCCTCCTACTGCCCCTTCTGTGGATCCGTACCGACGGTGTACCACTCCACGTGGGAATGCCCTGCCCCACAGGGCGTGCCTCCCATTCCCATATCCCACCCCTTCCTCTTGGGAGTCTGCACTGCTCAGCTTACGCCGGCAGGAACAGCAGCAGCTGGTCCAGCGGGCTCGCAGGGTCACGCAAGGCAATGGAGCCCTGGACTGAGGGCCCCACCCAAAGAAGGCTCAGTGTGCATTTGCTATTAATAAATGTTTATTCTCTCTCTCAGCAAAACGCGAGCACTATATAGTCTGACGCCAGGTGCGACCAGCGTCCGTCGGCGCGGCCCGACGGCAACCGGCACGAAATGCGATATGCTCCACCTCGCACCGATGCGTTACCCTGACAACACTGCGTCTCCCTCGTTTCGTGACGGAGGGACGCCGGACGCGTTGAAACGCGTATACGCGTCAAGGCAACGCAGCGCGTGCCTTCGAGTATATGGCAGGACCGGCGCCTGGCGTGATGTGACGAAATGAACGCCGGCGAGCACGCGCACCGCGTCACATCGTAATGTATTGGCGCCTTGACTGTGGCATGTAGACATATTCTCACATCACACGCATCTCATGATTATCATGTTTGCACCAGTCACACACGTTCGTCATCCATTGGGGTCACCTAATACCAAATCTGGCATATGTGAAGCTAGCGAAACGACCACGAGCACATCATCAGTGTGGCATGTAGTCATGTTGTTTCATGACACACATGTCGTGATTATCATGTTTGGATGTGTCATTTACCTATGTCATCCGTTCGCGTCGCGTAATACCGAGTTTGGTATATGTGAATCTAGCGAAACGGCCGCGAGCGCATCATGAGCGTAGCATGCAGTAACGTTGTTACATGACACGCATCTCATGTTTATCATGTTTGCACCAGTATCACACCTTTGTGATCGATTCACATCCCGTATTACCAAATTTGGTGTAAATGACTGTAGCGAAAGGGCCGCCAGCGCATCATGAGCGTGGCATATAGTCATGTTGTAACATGAAACGCATCTCATGATTTTCATGTTTGCATCAGTCACATACCTTCGTCATCCATTCACGTACTGTAATACCAAATTTGATATATGTGACGGTAGCGAAACGGCCGCGAGCGCATCATGAGCGCAGCATGTACTCATGTTGTTACATGACACGCATGTCATAATTTTCAGATTAGGGTCTGTCAGTGGTCGCCATGTAATCATGCCATACCATACCAGTTTTGCAACATGTAATGTGAACGAAACCACCGCAAGATCTGCAGGACCATGAAATGTAAATAATGACATTCACGACATAAATATCATGATTTTCAAGTTATGACTAGTCAAATATGTTTTTCATACAGTCATGCTATGCCATACCAAGTTTGGTATCGATGCCATTATCGAAACGGCCAAGAGAGCTAAAAGTCGTTGGCGGCTAGATAATAGATAGATACGTTCAAAGTCACCGAAGTTCGCTTAGAAGTGCTTCGCATAAAAAAAAAAAAAAACAGATATCTCAACGCTCTCGAGAAATTCGGCGCTTCATGCCGATCGACTGACGATTTCGGTCGAAGCAGCGATCCCGAAATGAACTCTTAACACACTCCTAGAGTCATCACCATCCCCTGAGATGTTTAAAATCGTGATTTTTTATCTGAAGTAACGTATCATACAATGAAAATTGTCTTCTGTATCGACTTATCTGCTAGCAAAACGGACAGTACCCCTGAGCAGCATAAAAGCATTGCAGAGCATTTTGGTGTGATAAAAAGTTTTCCAACTGTTCATGGCTTTCGTAGCTGGTCATTGTCGCAATCACGGCGAGCAGAAAAAAAAAAAAAAAACTTCTAAAGCACTGACATTGCACGGAGAGGTGCTTTTTTTTCAATTGGGCGGTACAAAAGTGCATGTGTGCTGCTGCTAACCAGCGTGGTGTGTCGAACCGGAAGCCGTCGTATCCCACAGTTTTCTGCGTTTGCCTATTTTACCGAAAAGTGGCCGGGGACAACGGATTTATATTGCGATGATTATTCGGTGAAACACGCTTTGAAGAGTTAAATGAAGAGTCGACTCGCGACGCCCTGACGTGGAGAGTGCCCTTGTCACTGTACTCTACTCGCGGTGTCTGGGAGACGGAGATAGCTAGCGCGCGCCTCTAGACCGGCCGTGTTCTAGCAATTCACGTAGGTAGCGATTCCAGTTTTTCCGGCCCCTACCGTACGCTACCGAAACGCTAGAGGGCAGCACAGAAAAATGGGAAAGGCAGATTGTTCAGGCACGTGTACTACTTGACAAACGCTGTATAGGCACGGCGCCGTGCTCCCGACCGGGTTGCAGAAATTAGATGCCTTTTCTCGTCTTCTAACCACTCAAGGTCCCTAGATGAAACAAGTTTCCTTATAACCACTACCACCACCACGCTGTATTGCTAGTTGCGGTCCACGGATTGCAGCCGGTACAGCGTAGCATCGATGGTTGCGCCAAAACGAGATCAAAAGTGCGCGCGAAAAGTGCCTTTGCTGTCTCCTGGCAGAGGGCAGCACCTATGCAGTAAATTCGTAGAATGCGCGTTCCAGGGTTCACGAGAACCGTAATCAGAAGCAAGTCGAGTCACTGATTGCAGTGTCGTAGTCACTATTGCTTTGTGACGAAGGCTGGAATAAAAGTAGGTAATCACTGATCACCGAGAGGCCTTGCGGGTCAGTATGACAGTGCTGGAGAAATGCGTGGTCAAGCACGGCTAATGGCGACGGCAATCTGACTCTTGAGGATTTCCGTAATTACGTTTAGCTCACGGGATTGATTCTTCTATTAGCGAAGTCACGGGATCGATACTTATATCAGCGAAGTCAGTGCGTAAGCACAAACGTGAAACATGTTAGGGCGCTGCGTGACCATTTGTTTAGAAAGTAAAAACGAGCACTCGGTTTCTATACAGAACTGGCACGCATGCAAGTGATAACGTCAAGACGATTGTGACAATACTGTTTAGAACAGAGGTTAGCAAGTTTGTGTACCAATACTGGGCGTTTCGCCAATCGTTACGAGGGTTTCAAGGCCCCAGAACTAATTCTGTAGCGTTGCGCGCTGGCAACAACACTCCGCCGTTCGAAACAGCGCCGTAGAATTAGCCAAAGCCCAATAGCACAGCCAACTTCGACGTTGCCAAACAAAACAACGTCATACGACCGCTCACTCGTGCGAGCGCCCAGCGACAACGGTGCGAGGGCAGCCATCCAGAAAGTTCGCCATCCGCAATCAGCTGATTTTTTCTCTCGGCAACGCGGAAAACCGGAAAACACGTGACAGCGGCGGTGGCGCCGCTGGCGCGCGGCGGTCCACTTCCACTACGCTGCGTCAGTGCGCCGCTTTTAGGCCTAGCACTCGGTCGTGTCGTCCCTTTCCTCAGTGCAGTGGACCTCTTAACCAATTAGGTTTTTTTTCTTCTTCACCCTACCGGATTGTTCTCTCGTCTGTCGGCGCCGTGAGGAAGGATCCGGTTCTGTCAGTAACTTCAAGTTGGGGAAAGAAAGCGGAGAGATCGTGATCCTTCCCGTGGATAACAAAAACACCTGCTGCCGCCTACGACCCGACGATGGTGTGAATGGTGCAGTCTCCGGAGGGAGCCCTTGCAGCGAAACCAGCGCCTGTGTGCCTCGAAAAGCCGGGCGACAACCGGGGCTGCCGTGTTACACCCGCCTCCCGTGTTTGCTGGGTCTTTCCAGCCTGCGCCCTTGAGGCGGTGTCGTCTCTAAGTGAGGAGCACGAGACGTGGCTCATCGGATATGTGATTGCGCGGCAGCAAGCCGCGGCTCTGCCCCGGTGGGGTTCAGCACAGCCTGTGCCGCCGTTCGAGACAGCAGCTTCGTCGGTCGTGTGGCCTTTTTCCTATTCGTGGTTCACGCTTCCCTCTAGCGCTCCGAGGCGAGAACGGTTAGCGACTTCGGCGGCTGCTGCGGTCAAAAATGGCGGACGCAGACCCCGAAACGCTGCTCGAGTGGCTCAACATGGGCCAGGGAGACGAGCGGGACATGCAGCTCATAGCCCTGGAACAGCTATGCATGCTCCTGCTCATGTCTGACAACGTGGACCGCTGCTTCGAAAGGTGCGTAGCCCTAATCTTGGAATGATCTAGCGGTATTCGCGTGCACGTCGCCTCTTTTTTTTTTCTTTTTACCCTGCGCGCTTGGTCGGGATTTTGTTTCGTTTTATTTTACGTGCTTGCTCGAGGACATAGATTGTTGTTCCTCGTTTTTTTTCACCCCTTATAGTATCACCCCTCCCTTGTCAAAGCAATTGCGCCAAATAGCGCAATTTTTTCGGCCATGAGGTTGTGATAACGCGAGAGCGATCTTGTTTTTTTTCCTTGCGTAGAAGCCTCGTGTGGCTCTTCGATTCCTAGCGCGACCACAATGTGACCGGCTTTTGTTTTCCTTCCCTCTGAAATTGCATTTCCCCGTTTCTATGTTTGGGAACTATTCGGAGCGGGAGGAGGGGGTTGTCACGGAAACAAAGCCAGTTCTCCGGGCACTGGCCCTCCTCTTTTTTTTTTTTTTTTTTGAAGTTTGTAGTCCGGCCGTTTGACGAAGGCCGTACCAGTAATCCTGTCTAAGATCTCGTGGAAGTGTTCTTATAAGTCGTCCAAGTTTCGTAGCCGTGTTCGGACTTGAGTGCAACGGCCACTTTCTGTTTTGTAGGAAGCCACATTTGAATTGGTTTTCGTAATTAATTTCTAGTTACGAACCGCTTTCCTCTTGTGCCGGTCTTCCGTGGACTTATCAGAACAAGAGACGGACAGAGAATGCGACTCGGTGCACGAAGCGGGTGGCTGGCTCTGCACTTCACTGGCTTAATGCAAGATGGCTTGCACGCAGTTCTCGTGCCCCTGCCGGCGGTTTGGTTTTGATTACGCAGCTTAGCATTGCGTTAGTTGCCACTGCGCATGCGTCATACGCTAACTTGTTGGTTACGCGCGTTAAGGCTCGAAGATTACCCACGTCGCTTTAGCACGATACGCTATCTGTAGCGTATTGTGCTAAAGCGACGCTATGTCCATTTAACTGCCTGAACGCTGCTACACGAAAACGAAAGGTAAAACAAAATAAGCTCCACATGAGGTGGTCTTTGTGTATTGCTGTGTTGGAAAACTTTGTTTTATAGGCATTTTGAAAGCAATTGGCACTCACAAAAAAAATGAAATGAAGGCGAAACCGAAGAAAAATGCAAACGGTTTCATTGACAGTAGCATAAGCTGCGAACAAAAACTAAAAAAAAAAACAAAGCAAAGGCAGTTATGCATGGAACTTAGCCTTTCTTTGCGTGCTCCTTTCTGCTACATTTTGTACGGAAAATCGTTTCACGTGGGAGACGCACGTTCATCCAGTACATGTCGGCGTAGTTATCTTGTTCCGATTCGATGCGATACGCTTGACGAAGTTCGACACGATACGCTACCATCTCACTCGCAGACGCACCTGCCCGCAACTCTAGGTGCTTGCTAATTGATTTTAGTAACTACAGCTGTATAACAAAGACACGGTACACTACTGGCTCGTTATAAGATTCCAACGAAGGCAACGTTGCCTTTTTTTATGGTCTTTCTAAACATCGGCTGTCTCATCATGCCGATTAGGTTACAGTCTAAGACAACAAAATGTCAACTCAGCTATCGCGGTCCCTTCCGCGGATAGCATAATCTTGCTCGTTTAGCGGCGTCAAAGACATTTCGAGTGTTTCAGATAGTTGGCTGTCCCGCAAAGAGGCACGTTTTGTTGTGTCGCTAGTTTTAGGTCGGAAAATTGAACGTCCTGATGAAGTACGTCAGGAATTCTGACTTAGCCTGCTCAGCTTAACGCATTTAGATAAATGTGACAGCTGGGAGGCCATTGTATTTAGATTTAGGTGCACTTCAAAGAGTATCACGTACAGTCGAAAGGTGAAAGCAAAACGCTGACCCCCCCCCCCCCCCCACAAAAAAAAAAAAAAACACTCGAAGAAATAACAGGAGTTTCGATACGTATTTCCTTCCACGTTTTGACCGTGATTTATTTCTGGCCAAACCACTTTTCCTTAGCATTTAACACCAGATATACTGTCGAAATGTTCGGAGCCCTCCACTGAGACGTGTCCCTCACAATCATATTGTGGTTTTGGGACGTTAAACCCCAGATATTATTATCATAAACATCAGGCATCGCACTGAGTTTGATTGTAGTAATTGACTTGACGGAGTTCGACAACCCCGTAAAGAAAGAACACATTGGGAATTGATGCGAAGTCGGGAACAAAGGAACGGTGACATCGACGCTTGACAGTGTCTGCAGTCTTATTGTTAAAATACTAGGGTTGACATTATTAAAGAGCACTTACTTTCACGTGAGATCCGAAGACGAGAGAGAGGAAATAAAATAAAAAACAAATGCGTTGAAATCTAACGTGGCCCTGACGTAGTGGTGCTCTGTTACCGAAGAGAAAAATTTGAAGACATTTCAGTCTAGAGCAGTCGTCATACGGCGGGCGAATTCGCTCAAGCAATGTTTTAACTGGATGCTTCGTACGTCTGACTTGGAGGTGGCGTTTAATTGTAGTTCCTATATTTATATTTACTTCAAATTAAATTAGCGTTTGATGAAGCACAATTTCGGTTTGTTGTCAACACAGAAAAATACACTACAAAGGATACGAAACACGGCTTTCAGTGATTTTTGAAGAAATGCCTGCAGATAATCAATGTGCAGCCCACTTCGTCCCGCTTCGAAGCCGTAGTGCGTGGGTTCGACACCCGGCTCTAAATTTGGGCCGGCGGGGGTTGCAAAGATAACCGCCTACTCTTTGATTTAAGGTTGTGTTCGTGATTGATACGTAGTCTTCAAACTACAGCGTGCCTCCTCGTAATCGTGTTTTGATTTTGACACGTGAACCGCCTTCATTCCAATAGCTTGTTTGCTCCTGCACTGCCCACCACGGGTTAATGCTTGTTACGGCAGGCTTGATGTCTGCTATAAGCTGTTACAATAATTCAGTAAACGAAAAGTGTATCACCGTTCAAGTACTCCGTATACAGATCGGCGAAAACCAGCGAAGTCGAAGTGTACGGCCTCGGTGTTTGTCGCGAGCTTGGGTATAAGTTGTTTGCTGTTGCGGCTTTTTGGTTGAGTCTCATAATCACCTCATTTAAGTGATGTGGGCTTATAACTTTTTATTCCGGTGGTTTTGGTCACATTTGCGTATACAGGATGTTAAGAACACCGAAATGATTTTACGGGTAACGCTTCGTGCGGTGCCTGCTAGTGTCCGTGGTTATACTGCATATTTGCCGACAAATCTTGCAAGAGAAAGCTGTTTACCACTAAATGAATTCGCGCGTTACGACTGTTGCCAGACTCGGCGAATTTCGCCACCAATGCAATTTTTTTGTCTGTTTTTTGCTCGTCCGATAGATGACGTAACTGACATTCGCACGTCGTGAGTCCCCCCACTCTTCCTCAGGGAAAAGAAACCAAAAAAAAAAAAAACTGTCGTGACGTTCTTTCTCGGCCAAGGGGTTAAATTTAACGCGCGAAAAAATTGCTCGAGCGCCTCGAATTTCGGCCTCTCGCTGACCTAGAAACGGAAGTCCCGTGAGTGAGCAGCAACATCAAGCCCAGCCCCCTTCGTGACGTAAACGATCCCAGAAGCGACGAAGACGTGCCCCCTCCGCGCGCGCTCGCATTTCGCGCAGTTTCGTGCTGAGCATACTCGCGTGCCCCACATCTTGCCATTGATATATATGCGATGAACAACCGAATCTAAGTGGTGTAAGTCGAAGAACCCGTTGCGCCTTAGTATGATTGCCGGATCGGACCATTGTTACGGCTGACGCGCCGTCTGCGAATGCGACGATAGATTTGTCGGCATGCGGCTGGCCAAAAATTGCGTTTTGTTGGGAGTCTGTTGTTTGCGCCCTGTCCCGGGTTACGATGTTCGTTTTCGATACAATTACTTTGCAGGCCTGCCCGTCCTCTTGACACACAGTATTTGAACGACAATGATGTCTAATTGAATTCGGCTTGTTTCCGATAGAGACGTTCTTTAGTTAGCTACCGCGTTTAGCTAGCCTGCGAAAACGGCGTTGTAGGGATGAATGACAGCTCTCGGTTGTTACAAATGGCACCACTTTATCATTTCAGTGTAAGTTCACCGATATAATGGTTTATGTAAGGTTTCTCGCGCGGTGTTGGCACTTTGTATCTCAGCGTCCGCACTAGTGTACAGAACATAATCAGCGAATCGTGGTTAAGCTATTCAGTGCCTTTCCTTAGAATCGATTGGGAATGGGTAATGTCACTCTTCCATCAAGTAGTGCCAGCATTTCAAATCGAGACAAGGAGCTTGGCCAGCTTAAGCGCAGTCTTCTAATAGTTTGGCCACATATGTGGACGCTGGGACACAAAAGGTTAAAGAATACAATCGCCCCAACATCCCCTCGGTCTCTTGTGATATAATTTATCACCCAGCCTCGTTGACTGTTTATTTCGTTTGCATATAGGCGGCTGTTACTTTTCGTGAAATTGATCGGTGTTCATTCCGAAGCAAACGGAACGAAAAATTTGGTGCATTCTCTGTTAATCTACGTACTACTCGAATTCTCAAAAACGACGTCACGGCGATGTCGATGTCTTTTTGAAAAACAAAGCATCTCAGTTTTTCTGCGAGACGTGCGACGTCACAGTGACGTCACACGTCTCACATTAGTTGCGCTCAGGGTAGTAAACAATGAGGAATTCTAGTTGGAACATGTTACGACGTGCCAGTTGCGTTATGAGTTTCAATGGTTCTCGCTGCGGCACGTTCACTGTTACGTCTCGGAGGGTAGGGCTATTCGTAATCGTTGCGTGATTCGGTGTCTAACGAGCCATTGTTCATTGCCAAAAGCTTCTGTCGCACGCCGGGAACACGTTGGAACTTTTGAGATCTCGTTTAACACAAACTGGACCGCTTCTCGTGAGGGTACTTACATTCCAACTGACGTCCTTCGAAAAGCGACTGAAAGTCTACAGACACAACTTTATTGACACAGAAGAAAGACACAACTTTATTCTTGATGTTTTTTTTTGTAAGGGCTGC